GACGCGTTGCTGCTCAGCGGCTTGAAGTTCAACTTCACCTTCATCTTCAGCATAGAAGAGATCCATCGGTTCAGGTCTATAATAAGCCTTACCACTCGTGGATTTTTCTTTTGCAGAGCTAAGGTTGTACCCATTCCAGCCAAGCCTGGCCGACTTTAAGTCGTGCTCAGCATTAAGAGGAATTTTTACGGCCTCTTTAGAAGTAAAGGGGTGGAGCACGAAAAATTCGGTTTTGGCAAAGCCAGTACGAAGACTTACCATAAAGATAGTCATATGGACTGCCTCTGGCAGAGGATCAGACTGCGTTGCATCCATAAGAGCTCTCTAACTTTTGGACATAGTCCGATGGATCATTCCTACCCTGAAGGGTAGATAAAAAGCATGAACGCACGCGGTAAGCTTGGTTAGGTGGTGAGAACACCTGTACCAATTATGACTTCAGCGACTTTCATGTGGGAAATGCTAAGTCAACCGACGTGCTACACGTCAAGGCCCATTCTCTAGCTCTTCCATCGAGCTTTGGGATAGCCAGAGAGACCTGCTGATGGTCAAGCTTGATCAGGCCTGATCTCATGGCCATTTCAATCTCACGGATCCAGAGGATGAGGTTTTCACCCTCTTTACCGGAGTAGTTTTCAACTTCCACTTTAATTAAACGAGGCCTAGCCTCTTCGTCTGGTATAGACACATAGCGTCTAGGCATACCCGACGCTTACTTGGCCTTAGACCTGCCCTAGGAGGGTCGCTTCATACTGAATGAAGCCTTCATCAAGCGCATTTAGCACCCTAGGGCCTTGTCAAACAAGGACATTCCATGTAATCTGGACCAAAAGATGCGGTCAGCTTATCGAGTGCGACCCTTTGGGCCTCAGAGAGTGGGAGTGGGGTTTTCTTCCTCACAGACGATCAGTCTGATCAGACTCAGGTGTAGATTTTACTACAAGTGCTACCAAGTGTATCGGAGCTACACGGCTCGTTATGTCAGAAGAAGACTTAACGCTTAACGAGCAACTTAGTTTTGAAGAACTAGACTCAATGAGTCTACAAGCGTAAAGCTTATGGTCCTTGTTCCAGGGGGGGCAAACGATTCAGTGAATCGACAGCACTTAGTGCTCAACATTAACTAGCTACCTCAGGTAGGTGTTGCTGATTCTTAGTGATCAGTGATCAATGACCAAAGAAGCCTCGCAAGACACGTGTCTTTAAGTTAAAAACAGGAACTCACTTTTAATAACATTTAAACCTATAGAATATATTAATTCTAATCCAGACACTTATGTCCTAAGTTAGTACAACCAAGATCTCTCTTATCAGGTGGCTGACACCAGTCAGCCCCTATAAACCGATAAGATATTCAATGTCTCTTTCAGTGGGATATCGTCCGTGTGTCTAAGACATAGGGTACCAAGTACCCATTTAAGTGTGCCCCTGTACAGCATATGCACGAACGGTGTCGGTAACATCAAGATCACCATGTAAATTTCCTTTCATGTCAGTCTGGTCGATAATGCTATTCTCTGCTTCCTCTTCATGTATGTCTGCTTCCTATTGTACCGGCTTTGTTACTGTCTTTTGGGACAATTCATCCTGCCGATCCGTCCTTCTGTGATTTAGACATCGCAACCTTAGCGTCGTGATACTGATACCTGCTGTTGCGACATACGAAGTCTAACACTTTTCTTAAGGTAGTGTCGCCCTACGACTGGTCGTGGCTTCACCCCGACCCACCAGCTTAGAGCGTCTCAAGCACTCCAAATAAATATTGTCTTTTGTTTAGTAAAAACTCATTATGTAGTTGTACTCATAACAGGTCGCCAAAGCAGCTAATCAACTGACTAGATAAGCATAGAAAACGCTAAGATAGAAAGGAACAAGATCTGGAGCTCGCCCTTCAATATAAGAAATCCAGTCGAAGAACCTAAATCAAGTTCTGTATATTTACGTACCTTGCTCTTAGTAATTGATAGGTTCACCCTTCGGGCTTGCCATGTTGTCCAACAACAATTAAGAGGAGATAAAAGGCCACATTACGAGTAATGCGACGTGTAAAAACACCTGGCGGCATCTGCAGACACATGCATAGAAGTTACACACTACATTGCAATCGGTGCGACGTGTAAGGTACTTCAGGCGCTGTTCAAATACACAGGACAGTTCAAACTCGTAAAGTCATATCCTTCACATTTCGAACCAGATCACAGCATACTCTCCTATGATAAGTGTGGTGGTAGATGAGGCCCGTCAGGTCAGCTCGTTAGGTAAAGGCGCAGTGCACAATTGGGAAGTGCAAGAGGTAATGGCAGATCATAAAGAAGAGGCGTTCGGCTCTCTGTGTCTACAGCAGGCTTATTGGTCCTTTGGCACGTGCAGCACAACACAGACGTGAGAAAACTCTCAGTAAAGAACTGTCAGACCACGAACGTGAATGGCTTGCAAAAAAACAAATGATCTTATATTCTACTACTTGCTATTTTAGACCACGATTTTACCATGAACAACGAAGCCTCTTTCTTCTCTCCATCGAAATGGAACAGAACGCTGCGAAGCATACCAGCGTTTAGAATACAAACAGATGGTTTAAAAGTCCGCGGGCACAACGAGCCAGACTGCATGTTATAAGCAAATATGACCCTTCCGCGCGTGAGTTAGGCTGTTCGGTGTCAACCCGTGCTCGGCAGTGCGTGCACTCCCCTCCGTGGTTAATCTACGACCAGCGGCAAACGAGTATGTCGGGCTGATAAGGTTTTCGGGTAGGACACCAAGAATGACGCGGCCTCATTCGCTTATACGTCCACGGCAAATTCAGATTTTTCGCAGGTAGCGATATTAAACACTGGCGGCAAGTGTGTGTTAGGTCTGTGCAGCATCGAATCCGGTGCGCCTCGCGTACCACCTTTCCAGTTCAATCTGAAGTGTACATCGCCAGCCGCATGCTAATCATAACGACCGTCTCTTTTATAAAGGATGTCAGCCACAGGTGCCCCCACCAAATAGCTTGTGTCATTGCGCAGCTTCAGTTATCTACGCGACTAGGTAAAGGGGTACCGGAGGCTGGATCGTACTGGTATGCTACGCCTCGATGCATTTCGGTAAGATGCTGTGTGCGTTGCATGGTACTGCTGATTTAAATGTACACGATCGTCGGTTACGTTGGCGGTAGGAAGTCGTCATTTAAGCCTGAAATAATGATGGCACGCATAATCACGACATTTCTCATTTAACGAAAACGTTTTGCCATTGTCAAATCAATAAGGACAACCACTCCTGGCATGTTCGTGAGCTCTACCGTTCTACATTTTATGCCTTCAATTAGCCTTCGCACATGTTGACGAGCTTCGGGGAATCGTCAGATAGATCGCCCGTTCACGATCGCCGACCGTTCAGTGGTACGATCGCTTTTCGCTAACTGGCCGGTTGTAACATGTGTGCGATAAGACCACGGTGCTATTGTTACTGCTGGCTGCAAAGCTTGCTTCGTTTGACTTCTTTATTGCAAAAGTGTTCATCACTGGAGCAAATCAAAGATGTGCCTTACCGCTCGGGGAAGAAAGCGTGATTTATCAGTAGAGCAGCTACGTGGTGCAGCTTCAGCAGTGACATGTGGTTATTATCTCGTGCCGCACTGACTGCATGGATACCAACACCTCAAGCGATCAGTCCAGAACAAAAGGAACGTACACTTGAGCAATGGCAACCTTCAGGCAAGCGGTCAGCAACCGTTCATTCTTTAGGTTACGGCGACTACATGAGCAATGTACGAGCGAACAAGGTCGGTATATTTATGCCCCTTGTGGGCGACTTCATGTATGCATGTACGTTTTCGGTGACGAATAGAAAAGTACCACATTTCTAGGTGTCCTCACATCTCAAGCATCCTCCTGGGTCAAGTATGTTGATAGAAGCACGTCCTGCCGCACCGCTCTTCTTAAAAGTTGTCGAGTACGAGGCCGTTTCTCTCCATAAACGGCAATGAGGTGTCGCAGCAACAAAGCGTTAACTTAATAAATGAGTCCTTTGTTCCGCTTCTTGCAACTGACGTAACGCGTCGCGAAAGTTGTTGACAGTACATGAGTACCGTCGATCACTTGCACCTTTGCATACGCCGTATAAAGCAGCGGGACCGAAGAACACATGTCAAGCATTTCGCTGCTAAGAAAGCTTTGCGGCCGCCTCAAGTGAGTTGCAAGTGGCTTAATGGCATCATCCCCCTACGAACGCAATGAATCAGCCACCACGTGGTTCCGAACCAACTACATGCGCCAGTTAAGCCAGTGATCTACTTCGAACCTCCAGTCGCTACTGGTAATCAACTGAGCACCTGCTTCCTTCAGCACCTTCGCTACTCTTCACGTCGCACTCGCGCACTTGTGTCAAGTGTCTACGATACAAAGTCCTTGTCTCTATGACAGTACTTAGTGCACTTGTCCCGTTAGCACGTCAAGCAGTCGCAGAAGTAGCAGAAAGGCGAGACGACACAAGCAGCACGTTGCACACAGAAAACGGACGGCCGCACGCCCTTTCTTGCAGTGGCCCACCAGCTGTTTAGTGGCCGCCTTCTACCATCGAAACCAGGGGTTCACCATTTCAGCCAATCGCATGGCCGCAGCGTCGCCTCGCGACAGGCAACAGGACGATCGCTCGATGGCTGACTCTCTCTCTCTCTCTCTCTCTCTCTCGCCTGCTGTTGCAAGTCGCGCGTTCATTCACTTCCAGCTTTTCCTCGGAAAACGCTCCCACCGACTGGAGCTCGACCTCCAAAAAGTGGTTTCCTCGGTACCCTCTGCCCCGCTCTCTCACTCTCGCAAACTTTAGCTCCAAAAAGCAGTCACGCGACTGAGGCAAAAAGGAAAAAGAAGGAGGAGAAGAAGAAGAAGGAGAGAGAGAAAATAAAAAAGAGACACGACACCAAGCGACTAATCGGACCAGACGCGGTCACGACGGACGGAAGTGACGTAAAGTGAAGCAGAATCGAACGGCTCAAGTCGCGCGTGGTGGTGGGGATGGCGCTTAAGTTCGCCGCCGCACTTTGCGTGCTCTTAATAGAGCGCGGGGCAGCTCAGGGTACGTCGTTGTGTCGGTTTGACAAAACGTGACCTCATTGAACTGGCCACTGACCGACTCGTTTTGACAATGCTGGATTGATTGATTGATTGATTGTGCAGACTGCCCCTATACAGTCAGCGTCTTGGACGTCCCGGGCGTGCAGTGCACGACGGCGCTGCCTTGTTCAGGGACGTACTACGCCACGGGATTGACTCAAGGCGTCGGGGCATGTCCCACGGGCTCGAGCTGTGCGCTGCTGCCGCTGACGCCTATTATGGGCTGTGCCGCTGCAGGTCGTTCAGACCTCATTTACGTGAATGGAGACGGCACGTTGACAAAAGGCGGTAGGTCAGTGACACTCTCAGGTAATATTGCAGTGGACGTAACGCTGGCACCAAGTAGCAGCAGCAGCAGCAGCGGTAGCAGCAAGAGCAAGACGGGACACAGTGGCAGCAAAAGTGACAGCAATAGTGGGAGCCGCTCGTCAAGTGGTTCGCGGTCCTCGACGGACAGCACGAGCGACAGTAACGCAAGTTCAGGGTCGTACTCGGCGTCCAGCAGCTCAAGTGGTACGCTTTTTTGTGCTTGTGTTATTGTTATTAGTGCTAGTGGGGGACGTTATTCGGTTGCTGGAATAGGCACTGACGCTGCCTGTCTTTGTTTTGCATCTTTGTGGTTGTAATGTTATATGAATTCCTATGATTTGTTCAGGTGACAGTAATGACTCTGCTTCGGGCAGCAGTAATTCAACAAAGGACGACGACGATTCGTCGAATAGCACGTCCTTTTCGTGGTCGTCTGAGTCGGGTTCTGGTAGCGTCACGATTTCCCCCGGCAGTAGCTCTGCAAATCAACAGGCTGAGTTCAATCCCGGGTCGATTCTCAGCGACAGTTCCAAGACAACAAAGACTTCTTCAGACGATGGTCTTAGCCTCGGGTCCATTATCGCTATTGTCGTGGGCTGCTTGGCAGTGGTAGCTATAGCTGCTGGCGCGCGGCTGCTGAAAAAGGGCAAGGAGGCCGAACTGGCAACTCCGGAGGCGGCTGCAGATGCCTATAATAACGGCGGCGGTGGTGGTGGTGGCGGTATGACTCCAAAGGAAAACGTGCTGCTGCTTTAAGTTTATGGCAAGACGGGAAAAGAGAAAGGGATTCTCCAAGCAGACTGAGGAGACTACAGTGACTGTGCAAACATTTTGAAGATGGGCAAGCGTGGGCTGCAAATAGAAATACCTATGGCGGGGTACAAGGGAGACGAGAGAGAGAGAGAGAGCGGACGTGAAAGGGTGCTGCGTGGCGGTGAGGTGTCGGGAAAAGCGGGGAGACTCAGTAGCACATGTGGATCGTAACTCTCTGCTCTTCCCCATTTTGGGTTGCACGACCATTATCCACGCCCTGTCGTCATAGTAAACTATACGCGAGCTAGCTCTGCGGGTTCTCGCATCTTCGTGCTAATTATGTTGATTAGATGTTGCCGTGTTGTTTTGCGCGTGTGCTTTGCTAAACCTGACGTCAAGACAGCATTTAGACCGATGAAAAGGTACTGCCGGTATGTAGGTGGTTGCAGCTATAAAACGGGAAGGGCGAATACCAGTCGACTACCAGCCCACCAAGCATTGCTTCGACAAGGTAGTACCAGTACGACTAACGATGGGAAATATAGAGAGAGACGACTGACACGGCAAGTAATCGAGACATTGTAACAAACCAGCACGTGCTCGTTGGGCGTTTTCTAGACAAACCACGAAACCGCGTGCCCATTCGTTAGCCTAGAGTAGAAGTGGCGTAGACCATTCATTTGTCAATAGATCACTCGCCACATTTATCCATCCGTCCATCATTCGTTCGTTTTGGTGAGCCTGTCTTGCATGCGTGAGGGCTGCTTCCAGCGCGAATCCTAAGCTGCTTTGGCATCACTTGCTGCTTTCGACGTCAATTGGGCTTCCTTGAGTGTAAACAGCTTGGCTGACGAGTCGGCGACGCCGTACTTTGCATAGAGCCGACCGATGCGGTAAAACGCCTGAAGAATCCGCTCGTCGCTCTTGCGTACGAGGTGAGGAAAAGCACGACGAAAAGCAGCTGTCGCGGGCTTGAGCTTGTAGTGGGGAATAATGGGGAACAGGTGATGGACCTGGTGCGTGCCAATGTTGTGGCTCAGGTTGTCAATGAGCGGTCCGTATGACCGATCCACCGACGAGAGGTTGCCCTTGACGTACGACCAGTCCTCGTCTCCATACCACGGCGTCTCCTCGTCATTGTGGTGCAAAAACGTCGTGATGACGAGCATCGTGCCAAAGACAAAGATCGGTCCGTAGTAATAGAGCGCCACCGTCGGAACTCCCACTTGAAAGCAGAGGTAGATCGAGAGCCCCGCGACGAAAAACTGGGCGAGAAGTGAGATGATAACAGCAGCTACTCTCCGTCCAAAGAGCGGCTCGAACGGGTTGTAGTGATTGAGTTTCCGAGGTGGGAACCCCTCGACGAGGTAGGCGAACCACGCAGCTCCGAGCGTGAAGGTCAAATGGCGAGAAACGGGGTGGTCGTCGCTCTCCCGTTGGGGGTAAAAGATCTCGTCTCGGTCGATGTTGCCCGTGTTCTTGTGGTGGTGGCGGTGCGTGAGTTTCCACGACTCGAACGGCGTGAGGATGAGCGAGTGCATGAGCGTCCCGACGGTGAAGTTGAGCACCGGGTAGCGGCTGAAAGCGCCGTGACCGGCATCATGACCGATGGTGAAAAAGCCCCAGAAGATCACGCCCTGGAGCACGGTGTAGCCCGCGATGAGAGCGACACGGAGCGGGTAGAAGCTCTGGACGAGTGGCTGGGCGAGCGCGTAGCTGAGACTCAAAGCCAAGGAACCAGCAAACACGAGCGAGCGCAGCGTGTAGTAGAGTGACAGCGGCAATGAGGATTCGAAGCACTCGCTTGGTAGCGACCGCTTGAGGTCCGTGAGGGTCGGGAACGCGGCCGGTTGCTTGGTCGCCATGGACGTTTTCGTGGCTGACGGAGCAAGTTCCGAAATGGAGTCACGTGAGACTTGTGCGGGACGCGTGGCGACAAGATCACTGCGGACTGGGCGGGGACGATTCGGTATAGTCAGAGCGAGACAAGGCAGTGAAACAAAAGAGACGAGCAAATGTGACGTGGATGGTGAAATGTCGAGCACCACTGGCGCAGATGATGTCATGTGGTTGATGACGTCCGTCCACCAGTCAGTGTGCACTCGAGTGTATCGCCAAACAGTCGTGAAAAGCACGCGTCTATCTATGCACGTTTAAGAGCAATTGTGGGATGTTCTGTTTGTTGTACACTGACGGACCAACGAACTGACACTAAAGTAATTTAATTCGAGACTTGCTTACCGAAAGGGAAGCACCACCTCGTGCTGTAGAATATCTTCAGCAAGTGGCCGCTGCAGTGCGTCTGGATGCATCATACTAGCGATCAAGTGCTGGAGCGAGTTGGAGTATTGTCTGGACCATTAAAAAGAGGAACACGAGCACATTAGAACGTAGATCTTGCAACTGACACCAGAGTCACACAAGCGCACCGGAACATCACGAGGTCTCCGTCGCGAATTTGCTGCCACTCTTCACCGCCACTAGCCAGCGTCGTGCCGAGCGCGAGCTCATAGATCGTGGCTCCCAAAGCAAAGATGTCGCCAGCGCGCAAGTTGTTGCGATTGCCTTCAAGGAGCTCCCTGCATCGAAAAAATACATGAGTGCCTAATTGTGCCTCAAGACTTTCAATAGCATGGACGAGACAGCACGTACCGACTAAGATACCGATTGTCGCCCTCTGTGATCTCCATGCTGCCATCTAAGTGAGCAACAGTCCCTAAATCGCCGAGCTGCATGCACAATAAATAACCGTTTGTTCACACAATTCCGAAATAACATCGCAAGGATAAGACGGACCTTGTAGACTTCCCCCGGACCAACCAAGACATTTTGCAACTTGACGTCCATGTGCACCATCTTCTTGCTATGCATGTCGTATAAAGCCTGGCGTTTACAAGTTAGCCAACCTATCCACGTATTAATTTGCAATGTTAAAGCGAGCTCACCTGCGCAATATGGCACAACAACTTGCACAACACTTCCTCTGGAACCTTGTGCGGCGCATACTTGTTGACAAAACTGTCGAGCGAGCAACCATCTAGACGTTCCAGCTGGATGTAGAGCAAGTCCTCTTCAATCCAAGCGTCGAAATACCGAACAACGTGGTTGCTGCTGCTCAGTGCTGCTAGCGCCTGCACTTCTCGTAATGCTCGCTCCCTGTTCACATCGAAGCCAACAGGCAATCGTTTGGATTCCAATCACAAGAACATACCACAACCGATATTACGTACGTGTCTGCCTTTCCACGGAAATGACGCTTATTCTTCTTGACGGCGTACTCCCACCCGTCAATCTTTTTAATACACTTGTACACCTTTGAAAACGATCCCGATCCGATCAACTGTTGAGCACGTTTGTCAGCATAAGTTGGATATCCACGTTTTCTCATCCCTTTGCCAGCAGTAGTCAACGTACTCCAAGTTCCGAGAAATCTGATAAATACTTGGCAAGAGGTGATCCGGTCTGTTCCCCCACCCACGTAGACGGGAAAGACCGTCGCTTGCGTCTTGATATCTTCTTCTTCTTCCCTGACTCGGTGGTTGGCTCGGGCGCAAAAGGGTTCACATAACTCTCCGCGGACAAGAGCGACGTCGTGTGTTCTCTACAGCCCAAAAACAACAACAACAAACAACAACAACAACAACGACGACGACACAATGTCGTATGAGCACCAGCATTTTGCCCAATTCTGCCGTCCTTTCAGCTTCTCACCCCGTCTGTCGTTCTCGCTTGGCACGCACAACGACATCAACATCTTTTTTCCTCAAAGGGGACGACCCGTACACGTCCATGGACGACTGACTCGAGAAGAACGACGGCGGACCTCGTTTCACCTGACGCACGTCCATGTGCGTCATGTCCTGCGTCAAGTTCTGCACCGGTTCCTCCGGGATCAACTCGACGTCACTCTCCAGCCGCGCGCGTTTCTTCAGTGGCGACGGCGTGTTGGGATTCGACAAGGGAATCACAGGCTGGTCCCTGGGCGTGAGGAAGTCCAGATCGTCTTGACTGGACGTCGACAGCCCAGAAAAGGGCGCCTGAGGCTGCTGCTGACTCAAGTGATAGTGACGGAGTGACTGGGGCTGCAAAGGCGTTTGAAAACTGCTTTGACTGGCAGAACGCAGCAGCTCACAGCGCACGGGCGTGTGAACACTTGTAGGCTCGATGTCCGGCTCTGTGCTGCGTTGACTGCTGCAGGTGATCGAGACGTCGCTTGGCCTGAGCTTCTGGTGCCGCCTCGTGCTGCTGGAATTGGTGCTGGTGCCATCGCTGCTGCTGTCGTAGTCGATCCGTTTCGGCAGGAACTCGTCTTCGTCGGCAGTGGTCTTGGTGGTAGAAGTGCTGTTAAGAATGGTCTTAACAAGGTTATGACCGGGGCTGTGGGTGACTTGGTGTTTGTTACCAGCGACAAGGTCGTTAACGTCGTGTTTGTTAGAATTGTCGTGGCGTCTGTAGGTCAAACTGGTTTTGGGGTCCACGGGTTTCATTCGTGTGGCGGTATTTCGGAAATGGGTACTTTTGGCGGAAGCTTCGAGGGACCGACGTGTTTTGCGGCGCAGCTTGCGGCCGACGTAAGGCTGCTGCGTGGTCGTAACGGGCTGCGAGAAAAAGTCGTAAATGGACTGTTGTTTCGTGGCGTGGTTGTGAGACGAGCCGCCGGACGAGCCGCATGGTGTCCGGCCTTTTGTCGGCATGCTCACGCGGCCTTTTTCCCGCCTTTTTGGACTCGATTGCCCAGTGGTCACGCTGCGCTTTTGTAGGATAACATCCAGAACGGAAAACAGGAGGCGGCCACTGCTTGATGTACAATTCGGTTTCTAAATAACGCGTTTTACTATTGCCAAAATCGAGAGGAACTGGCATGCTCCCCATCTCGTTTTTTCAACTCACATTTTTCTATCGTAGCCACAATTTTCTATTTTACACACTTTTATATATTTAGAAACGCTTTTAATTTACACCTCACCGTAACGTGGGAACGATAATTAATGTCATTTTCTAGTAAGATCCCCTTTGCTTAATCTGACGCTGCATGATTGGCTGAGTTATGGGCATGTCTTGATGTTATTATATCACGATATCCGTTTATTAAGCATGTACTGCACCTGTAACGGGGCACCCTGAAGCTTGTACTGGTGACAGTACAAGCTGCTTATTCTGATAACAGAATAAGGCGGTGCCTCGTAACTTCACGTACACTCGTACGTGCAGAGGAAGACGGTAAGAAGAAGCGAGTACTTGGTTAGAGTAAAAAGTAGAACTGTATTTATAATAGTTAATGTCTGCAATAAATCCCTATTTATCTTCATCTAACTATGTCTAAATACAAATGTGTAAATCAGTTATCTGCTCACCACTCATTGCGTGCGTCTGTCGTGGCGCGTCTTCGTTGGTTGATATAATGGCCTATATCAACCAATTAGGAACTACTTGGAAGTGCTACAGAATATTTGTCCTTATGACAATATTCTGAGAATATAACTCTTATAGTTATATTCTATTAACAATTTCTTATAAATTGTTATGTAACGATTCACCCCGTTACATCACCCCCTTAACCATCAGTCACTTTAGTGACTGATTGACTAAATGGATACTCGTCCCAAATCATTTGGGACAGGGTTTGCACACTTGTTGGTCCGCGTCCACTTTCCAACATTTCATCGCATGGTAAACAAGCCCATGCGATGCGCGAGCGAGGCCGCCGAGAGCGCGTCTGCACGTCTCTGTGCGGACGCCGAAGCAGAAACCACAGCAACTGATGTCCCATCGGTTGCCATAGCATCTCAGCCTGTGTCACTTGGTGACGCAGGCGCTGGTCATGAAGACACTCGTGTCTTCACAGAGTACGAGCTCGGTGTCTCGTACTCTCCTGATACGGATGACGGATCCGTATCGACGGCAATTGAATCCAAGCCGCCTGCCAAGCGTGGCATGGACGATGCTTTGCGTCGCAGCATCTTTGGTTCATCTGATGAGTCAGATGAACCATCGCCGAAGCGAAGGCGCTCGAGGTCGCGAGACTCGGGCGCTAACAGTGGTGTCGGTTCTCCTATGGACACCACTTCGCAACGAGGTGCCAGTACTTCTGTCGGCCGATCGCAGGAAGAGCGGGATCGCAATGTCTTGCGTCTCGCTCCCGAGAAGAAGGCATGGATGCCTCCTAAATCTGTCATGGATCACTTGTCGGCGACGACGAGTGATCGTTATCGAACACGATTGTTCGATTCGTCAAGGATCCATCACCTTGACCCCAGCGCGAAAGACTATCGCGCTGAACATGAGTTCTTCATCGATGCTTTCTTCAGACATCGATGGTACAGTGGGAATCACAAACGTGATGGTCCCTCACTACTTCAGGCGTGGAACGCCTACATCCATAATCTCGGGGATGTAGGTCGTGACGCTTGGAACGACAAACTTATCAAAGCTCGTGATAAGTTTGAAAAGCGAACCCCGACAGGTGCACGCTACAAGCTGCATCGTCTGTCAAGGGAGAAAGGATTACCCTGCCTCTCTTGGGGAGACTCGTGCCCATGTTGTGTGAACAACTCTGCACGAGCACCTAAGGAGGCTTACCTCCTTACCAGCCCGTGGTGGCGCGTACGTGTCTCTACTGAGATGTACGAAGGGATTGACAACCTGAAATCCCTTTACGACCGTGCCGGGAAGACTTTCTCCGGCGGTCCTTCTGCGGCACAGGATGTGTCGCGTCGTACTGCTCGACCAGACCCAGTACGTCAACCATCAATTGGGAGCGGGGCTCCCAAGAATCCCAGGACGGGGGATAGCCGCGCCACCGGACGAGGTAACTCGTCCGACGTCCGTTCACGTCGCGGTGGTTCAACAGCTGCTCAACTAGATAGCGCTGGCCACCGCGAGAGTCCTCTAATGGAGGTGGAGGAGGAGGAAAGACGCTCTCCACACGATCATGTGGATCGGTGTGTTCCCGAGAGCTTCTTTGATCGCGTAACGCAAGGGTTACGCGACGATCTCGAGCATGAGCAAAATAGGCGTCTCCAAATGGCGGACACTGCCTCGAAGCATCGAGCTGAGTTTGCCTTTGCTCAGCTTGAGAACGAGAGATCTCTGACATCTCTTCGTGACGAGCTAAGGGTAGCTCGTGGGATTGTTGATCGGTCTCGGGCTGAGATAACTGCTCTTCAGACCCTTGTTGATGCCCACCATCGGGAGCACAAGGCTCTCTGCGAGATGCTTGAGCGCAAGGGCGTTCTTCATCGGAAGAAGCAGCGTACTGATGGTACGGCTTAAGCCGACCAACGTAAAACGTGGGATGCGTTCGCATCTTACGTGGTAACTCGATCGTGTATGCATTGCCTAGGCGGTGCAATACACGAAAAGGGCCAATGTACTTGGGTAGTAGTTTACTGCTACCCAAGTTAGTCACTACATGATTTGGTAGATTAACCGTAGACAGTAGGACTAAGTCACCTTTACTAAATAAAAGAGTGTTTGCCCTTCCATTCTTGTCTGCGTTTGCTTTTTCTTATCCACCGCTTCGGCGATGGAGTCTTGCACAAAACGGACTACCGTTTCACGAGCCAGTATGAACTCATCTGATGACTCGTTAGCTTCAGTGTGCTGTGAGCGCACTGCAGCAACAACAACCTTTTCTTCAGTGAGGGCTTCCGCACTCTCACTGGGATCATTGTCTTCAGTGAGGGCTTCCGCACTCTCACTGGCATCATCTTCTTCGATATCGATGTTATCGATATCGGCATCAAACGCAATGACTTCTTCGTCAGAGCGTGATGAGCGTGAACCAAATCGGTTTTTGCTCGCGCGAGTCCCTCCCCCCCTTAAACCAGAGTTACACTCTAGTAAGGTGGGTACACGCGGATGGCGTAAGCCGTTCACGTAAAACGGTGTATGCGTCGTGGACGCATGCACCGAGTTGTTGATGGCAAACTCTACCATTGGCAAAAACTCACTCCAACTTATAAAGGAGTGTACGTATCCTCGAAGTATCTCTTCAAGGACACGATTGGCACGTTCCGTCTGACCATCTGACTCTGGATGATCAGATGTTGACATCTTCAAGCGCGTTCCGAGTGATTTGAACACGGAACGCCAGAAATCAGCAGTGAATCGTGGATCTCTGTCTGATACGAGTTCACGGGGCAACCCATGAAGTCGGAAGATGGTGTCAATAAAGACACAAGCACAGCCACTTGCCGTGATTGTCTCTGGTACAGCCACAAGGTGTACCATTTTGCTGAATCTGTCAACAAATACGAGAATACCCGTATTCCCGCGTGCGTCTTTGGGTAACCCGAAGACGAAATCCATTGAGATGGATTCCCAGCACTCAGCCGGAACCGGTAGAGGCTGTAAAGGTGCACGCAGTGAAGGACTTGACTTCACTCGTTGGCAGACTTCGCATGCGCGAACATACTTTCGCACAAACTGATACTGGCGGGGCCAGTAAAAGTCTCGACTTACCGTGAGATATGTTTTCTCTCGGCCACGATGTCCTCCTATAGGAGCATCGTGATACTCGAACATGATCCGCAATCGCAGATCAGTATCATCTGGAATGACAACACGTGGTGTGTCACCAGAAACGGCTGTATAGTACAGTAAATCGTTACGAGTAGTGTATCGATCTGATGCAGATCGATACGCAGACGACAATCGTTTCAACGATTCTCGAGATGGTTGGGAGAGATGTGACAACAACTTCACTATCTCACCATCTTGGGCGTAAGCCCGCCTCACATCATCATACAACATTGTAGATGGAACTGAGGACGTCATAACCGCAACAGTGACTGTCTCACTGTTGGGTTTCGCGACTGTTTCAAAGTCGGGACGACGTGAGAGTGCATCAGCGACGACATTAAGTCGTCCTGGTTTGTACTCGACCGTAAAGTTGTATTCTGCAAAGAATGACAACCTCCGCGACATATGTTGTGAAAGGTGCGGGCTGTTTACTGCCGTGCGTAACGACGCATGGTCTGTGTGAACGATGAAAGGTCTATCTCCTAATAGATAGACTCTGAACTTCGCAAGTGCATACTTCATGGCAAGGATTTACTTGTCATGCACTGGATAGTTCCGCTCAGCTGGTTGCAGCTGACGCGACTGATAGCAGACGACGCGTTGAACACCTTCAAGATCATACTGCATTCATGCACAGCCGATTGCGAAATCGCTGGCATCACATACCACATGAAATGGCCTGTCCTGATCGGCAATTGCTAGGACTGGGGATTATATCAAGCTCTGCTTGATACCATCAAAGGAGCGCTGACATTCAGCGTTTTATAACCACATCTCGTTCTTTTTCAACAAACGAGAGAGGTGTACAGTCATCTCGGCGTAATTGCGTGAATACTTATGCAAATACGCCGCTAGCCCAAGGAATTTTCGAAGACCTTTGACATCGACCGGCACAGGCCAGTCGGTAATCGCCTTGATCTTTTCGGGATCAGGACGTACACCGTTCTTACCAACGATGCACCCAAGAAGTAATATTTCGCTTGCTGCAAATATACACTTCTTGAGGTTTGCATACAATTGATGCTTTCGCATGATTGTAAGAACCTGTCGGACGTGGTACCTGTGAACCTCAACGTCCGACTTTCCATCCATAGCTCGACTATGGATGAAAACGTCATCGAAATAACTCGGTGCAAATTCTCGTACTGGTCTCAACAGATGTGATACACACCTGTTGAACGTGGCAGGGGCATTACTGAGCCCTTGTGGCATTACTAGCCATTCCCAGAGCATGCCGCTAGGCGTGCTAACTGCGGTATAGGGTATATCCCGTTCCCGCATTAGGATTTGATAGAAGCCATCCATCAAATCCATGGACGAAAAGATGGTACTCTTTGACATACCATCAATGATTACGTCCTTCCTCGGTATCGGCGTCTGAGCCGGTACCGTTGCAGCGTTCAATTTGTTAAACGCGTGCACTATCCGCCACCCTCCTGTTGCTTTTCGCACACAGAAGGTCGGAGAGCTATGTGGGGAAGTTGATTCCCTCACATGGCCCGCTGCTAAACGATCGGCAAAGAACTTGTCGATCGCAAGTACTTGTTCACGAGGCAGTGGCCACTGCTTCATGACACAGTACTTCGAGCCTGGTTTAAGCTCGACTTCGTGTCGAATACCTTTATCCTTCGGTAATTCGCACGGAACAGTTTCAGGGAATACATCCTTGAATTCAACCAAATCTTCATAGAGAGGATTTGTCTTGAGCGATTCCCATGATTGGGACTCATATCGCTCAATTCGTGTCTTTTCATCTAGGACACTCTCGTCCATAGATGAACTACTGAGAACTCTCTCGTTCTCAGTAAACACTGTTGCTGACCTTATGTCGGTTACATACTCGTCGTCAGCGACGAGTATGCAGATCTGCTTGACTTTGCCACTACGCAGATCACGCAAGAACCTTTTATGTTCGAGCGTTGGCAACTGAGTGATCTCCGAAGTTAACTTCGGAGGCGCAATCAGATCAAGTGTATAAGCGCCTACACATGATCCGTTATTGACTATGACATTCAATGTCTCTTTCATTTCCTGGGGACTTATTCCCTCAGGCTTCGAAGGACTTATTCCTTCGTCTTCCCGGGGACTTATTCCCGCGGGTTTCGGGAGAACTTATTTCCGCCGTATTTGTAATCTTGGGACTTATTCCCTTTACTTCCTCTAGCTGGGGTTGCGCAACCACAGCGAGATCCTCTACGAAAGACTCTCCAGTCGATCTAGGATTATCGTTTCGCTTAACCTGAGCGATCGATTGTTTCTCTTCTAGATGTTCCCCTCTAGGGATACATCTTTGTCCCAGTCCACCCGACTTATTCGAGTGGTGGACCTTCGGCGCAGCCTGTGTTTCCTCACAGCCGCCGGAACTTTGCTCCGAAGTGTAACCGTTTGGTACACTAAGGTTTTGTGCAGTCGTACTAACGACCGTACCACAAGTGAGGCCATCGCACTCACTCGTAGTACATCCACACGCTTGTGGACGCTCCAAAACGTTCATCAGATGGCCATCTGATGAACAAGCGGCAGGAGCATCGTTACTGTCCGATGTTGCCAGTTTACCCGTGGTTCGTACCTTCTGAGCCACGGTATTCCAGGGATGACATCAAATTTGTCATCCAAATCCAATACGATAAAGTCATCGTCGTATTGGGTATCTTCTAGCGTATAGTGAATCTTCACTATACGCTTCATGATTCGGTTACGGATGCGCCTGTCGCAAGACGTACCGTCATCCTCGTAGGAGGTGTGTCACATTCACTGAATTTAAAGTGACCATCTTCTAGCGATTGGCGTCGCACAAAATTGTTGGACGCCCCACAATCGACTAGAGCTCGAAGGGACAACTTATTCGTCACTTCGAGTTTCAAGGTAATGAGTGAGATCTCATTACCTAGAGCAGCAACGCACAACGTCTGTGTGTTGGGAGCAACCTTCATCAAGAGGCCTACAAATTCTCTTGACGTTGCTGGATCAGTAGGGTGCTTCGCACCTACTGATCCTGTCCGTTTTTTGACGGTCCATCCCGTTGTTGCGTCTTTGCACCAACTGCGGACCCTCGTCCCTGCCCCTTTCTCATGGGTGGACGGTCACTACGCCCAGTGTCGCGAGACACTGGACGAGGGGCACTACACTCGTAAGCGTAGTGTCCTGTCTTTTGACATCTGTTGCATCTCTGCAACTTCTTGTAGCCTGTAGAGCGAGCCTTCTCGCTCTCTACATAACAGAGTTCCATCGGCTCTGGACCTCCGTTGTCATATCGTCTCGGTTGACGATATGATGTCGAGCTGGCGCGAGCCTGTCTCAGACTGAAGTCTTCCTGCTCCGCAATTGAAATGGCTTGTTCTAGTGAATCTAGTTCAAGCCGGAACAGGTGAGTCTTGACGGGACCATCCGCAAGACCCTGCATGAACACCGAAACCAACGTGTGTTCATCCACCGGATTGGAACTTATACAACTTGTGAGATGTCGTATATGTTGAGCGTAAGCGTGCACATCACGCTTACCCTGCTTGAGCTTCAAGAGTTCGGTTCGAGCTCTGAACTCAGCTCTAGGCGGTTCAAACGTTTGTCTTCAGCGCGGCAAGACTTCCAACGACCCAAACGCATATGGGTCGTGCAGCGTGAGCCCCAGTGCCCAAGTCTTGGCACGTCCCTGCCAGATTTGACTGGGCAAATGCAACTTGCATATCCCCGTCGTCGATGCGACGCGCCCTTATGGCGTCATCCAATTCGACGAACCATCTCAAGAGGGAGTCTTCTTCGACCCCCCTATACTTTGAGATGTCAATCTTCAAAGTCTCGGGTCGACGCGAGTGCATCGACCCGCCATCAGCAGCCTGCTGCTGTCTCAACAGTTCAAACTGTTGAGCACCTTGTTCTCTCAACAACTCTGCTTGTTGAGAACCTTGTTGGTGAAGCAAGGCTACTTTCTCGCGTTCTGCGTCAAGTTCATTTTGAATGAACTTGGCGATAGTAGCATGTTGGGCATCTCTATTGAGAGCCTACTAGCATGACCTAACAGCATGGATGCCCATGGTCGAACCCATTCGTTCAACCGCATCCCATTCGACATCGCTCAAATGGGAGTAGCCGTCACGCGTAGCGTGAAAGCTTTGGTCATCTTCATCATCCAACATATTCATGTTGGATGTGAACGCGGTCCTTGGACGGACTACGAAGTGCTACCAGGTGTAACGGGGCACCCTGAAGCTTGTACTGGTGACAGTACAAGCTACATATTCTGATAACAGAATAAGGCGGTGCCTCGTAACTTCACGTACACTCGTACGTGCAGAGGAAGACGGTAAGAAGAAGCAAGTACTTGGTTAGAGTAAAAAGTAGAACTGTATTTATAATAGTTAATGTCTGCAATAAATCCCTATTTATCTTCATCTAACTATGTCTAAATACAAATGTGTAAATCAGTTATCTGCTCACCACTCATTGCGTGCGTCTGTCGTGGCGCGTCTTCGTTGGTTGATATAATGGCCTATATCAACCAATTAGGAATTACTTGGAAGTGCTACAGAATATTTGTCCTTATGACAATATTCTGAGAATATAACTCTTATAGTTATATTCTATTAACAATTTCTTATAAATTGTTATGTAACGATTCACCCCGTTACATCACCAAATTAATGATGGTTCGGAATCGTTCGTATCTACTCTTTGGCGCAAGATTATGTCAAGCTTTGCCTGAAACAATTCCGGACTCGATTGATTTACGTCTGCAGATGCTCTCGATTGCATATTAATGTTCAAAGGTTGACGCCTTCACAACAGCAAGCAGTCTCCATCATGCTTTCATGCAATTAATTCCGCACTAGTGGGTGGATACTGTAACTGTAACGGGGTGAATCGTTACATAACAATTTTTAAGAAATTGTTAATAGAATATAACTATAAAAGTTACATTCTCAGAATATTGTCATAAGGACATTATTCTGCAGCACTTACGAGTAGTTCCTAATTGGTTTATATAGGCCATTATATCAACCAACGAAGACGCGCCACGACAGACGCACGCAATGAGTGGTGAGCAGATAGTTGATATGCACATTTGTATTAGACATTGTTAGATGAGGATAAACAGTGGTTTAATAACAGACATTTACTATCATAAATACAGTTCTACTTTTTGCTTTAACCAAGTACTTGCTTCTCCTTACCGTCTTCCTCTACACGTACGAGTGTACGTGAAGTTACGAGGCACCGCCTTATTCTGTCATCAGAATATGTAGCTTGCACTGTCATCAGTACAAGCTTGAGGGTGCCCCGTTACACCTGGTAGCACTTCGTAGTCCGTCCAAGGACCACGTTCACATCTAACATGAACATGTTGGATGATGAGGATGATGACCGAAGCTATCACGCTACGCGTGACGGCTACTCCCATTTGAGCGATGTCGAATGGGATGCGGTTGAACGAATGGGTTCGACCATGGGCATCCATGCTGTTAGCGTCATGCTAGAGGCTCTCAATAGAGATGCCCAACATGCTACTATCGCCAAGTTCATTCAAAATGAACTTGACGCTGAATGCGAGAAAGTAGCCTCGCTTCACCAACAAGGTTCTCAACAAGCAGAGTTGTTAAAAGAACAGGGTGCTCAACAGTTTGAACTGTTGAGACAGCAGCAGGCTGCTGCTGGCGGGTCGATGCACTCGCGTCGACCCGAGACTTTGAAGATTGACATCTCCAAATATAGGGGGGTCGAAGAAGACTCCCTCTTGAGATGGTTCGTCGAATTGGATGACGCCATAAGGGCGCGTCGCATCGACGACGGGGATATGTAAGTTGCATTTGCCCAGTCAAATCTGGCAGAAAATGCCAAGACTTGGGCTTTGGGGCTCAAGTTGCACGACCCATATGCGTTTGGGTCGTTGGAAGTCTTCAAGTCGCGGCTCAGACAAACGTTTGAACCGCCTAGAGCTGAGTTTAGAGCTCGAACCGAGCTCTTGAAGCTCAAACAGGGTAAGCGTGATGTGCACGCTTACGCGCAACATAAACGACATCTCACGAGTTGTATAAGTTCCAATCCGGTGGATGAACACACATTGGTTTCGGTGTTCATGCAGGGTGTTGCGGATGGTCCCGTCAAGACTCACCTGTTCCGACTTGAACTAGATTCACTAGAACAAGCCATTTCTATTGTGGAACAGGAACACTTCATTCTGAGACAGGCTCGCGCCAGCTCGACATCGTATCGTCCACCGAGACGATACGACAGCGAAAGTCCAGAGCCGATGGAGCTCTGTTACGAAGAGAGCGAGAAGGCTCGCTCTACAGACTACAAGAAGTTGCAGAAATGCAACAGATGTCAGAAGACAGGACACTACGCTTACGAGTGTAGTGCCCATCGTCCAGTGTCTCGCAACGCTGGGCGTAATGACCGTCCACCCATGAGAAGGGGGCAGGGACGCGGGGTCGCTGTTGGTGCAAAGACGCAACAACGGGGTGGACCGTCAAAAAACGGACAGGATCTGTAGGTGTGGAGCACCCTACTGGTCCAGCAACGTCAAGAGAATTTGCAGGCTTTTTGGTATAGTTTGCTCCCAACACACAATCACTGTGCGTTGCTGCTCTAGGTAATGAGATCTCACTCATTACCTTGAAACTCAAAGTGAAAAATAAGTTGTCCCCTCGAGCTCCTGTCGATTGTGGGGCGTCTAACAATTTTGTGCGACGCCAATCGCTAGAAGATGGTCACTTTAAATTCAGTGAATGTGACACTCCTCCTACGGGGATGACGGTACGTCTTGCGACAGGCGCATCCGTAACCGTTATAAAACGTATAGTGAAGATTCACTATGCGCTGGAAGATACCCAATATGACGATGACTTTATCGTATTGGATTTGGATGACAAATTTGATGTCATCCTTGGAATACCGTGGCTCAGAAGGTACGAACCACGAGTAAACTGGCAACATCGAACAGTAACGATGCCTGCCGCTTGTTCATCAGATGGCCATCTGATGAACGTTTTGGAGCGTCCACAAGCGTGTGGATGTAATACGAGTGAGTGCGATGGCCTCACTTGTGGCACGGTCGTTAGTACGACTGCAAGAAACCTTAGTGTAACAAACGGTTACACTTCGGAGCAAAGTTCCGGCGGCTGTGAGGAAACACAGGCTGCGCCGAAGGTCCACCACTCGAGTAAGTCGAGTGGACCGGGACAAAGATGTATCCCTAGCGGGGAACATCTAGAAGAGAAACAATCGATCGCTCAGGTTAAGCGAAACGATAATCCTAGATAGACTGGAGAGTCGTTCGTAGAGGATCTCGCTGTGGTTGCGCAACCCCAGCTAGAGGAAGTTAAGGGAATAAGTCCCAAGATTACAAATACGGCGGAAATAAGTTCCCCGAAACCCGCGGGAATAAGTCCCCGGGAAGACGAAGGAATAAGTCCTTCGAGGCCTGAGAGAATAAGTCCCCAGGAAATGAAAGAGACACTGAATGTCATAGTCAATAACGGATCAAGTGTAGGCGCTTATACACTTGATCTGATTGCGCCTCCGAAGTTAACTTCGGAGATCACTCAGTTGCCAACGCTCGAACGTAAAAGGTTCTTGCGTGATCTGCGTAGTGGCAAAGTCAAGCAGATCTGTGTACTCGTCGCTGACGACGAGTGCGTAGCCGACATAAGGTCAGCAGCAGTATTTACTGAGAACGAGAGGGTGCTCGGTAGTTCATCAATGGACGAGAGCGTCCTCGATGAAAAGACACGAATTGAGCGATATGACTCCCAATCATGGGAATCGCTCAAGACAAATCCTCTCTATGAATATTTGGTTGAATTCAAGGATGTATTCCCTGAAACTGTTCCGTGCGAGTTACCGAAGGATAAAGGTACTCGACACGAGGTCGATCTTAAACCAGGCTCGAAGTACTGTGTCATGAAGCAGTGGCCACTGCCTCGTGAACAAGTACTTGCGATCGATAAGTTCTTTGCCGATCGTTTAGCTGCGGGCCATGTGATGGAATCAACTTCCCTACATAGATCTCCGACCTTCTGTGTGCGAAAAGCAACAGGAGGGTGGAGAATAGTGCATGCATTTAACAAGTTGAACGCTGCAACGGTACCGGCTCAGACGCCGATACCAAGGAAGGACGTAATCGTTGATGGTATGTCAAAGAGTACCATCTTTTCGTCCATGGATTTGATGGATGGCTTCTATCAAATCCTAATGCGGGAACGGGATATACCCTATACCGCAGTGAGCACGTCTAGCAGCATGCTCTGGGAATGGCTAGTAATGCCACAAGGGCTTAGTAATGCCCCTGCCACGTTCAACAGATGTGTATCGCAACTGTTGAGACCAGTACGAGAATTCGCACCGAGTTATTTCGATGACGTATTCATCCATAGTCGAGCTATGGATGGAAAGTCGGACGTTGAGGTTCACAGGTACCACGTCCGACAGGTTCTTACAATCATGCGAAAGCATCAATTGTATGCAAACCTCAAGAAGTGTATATTTGCAGCAAGCGAAATACCACTTCTTGGGTGCATCGTTGGTAAGAACGGTGTACGTCCTGATCCCAAAAAGATCAAGGCGATTACCGACTGACCTGTGCCAGTTGATGTCAAAGGTCTTCGAAAATTCCTTGGGCTAGCGGCGTATTTACACAAGTATTCACACAATTACGCCGAGATGACTGTACACCTCTCTCGTTTGTTGAAAAAGAACGAGATGTGGTTATAAAACGCTGAATGTCAGCGCTCCTTTGATGGTATCAAGCAGAGCTTGATATAATCCCCAGTCCTAGCAATTGCCGATCAGGACAGGCCATTTCATGTGGTATGTGATGCCAGCGATTTCGCAATCGGCTGTGCATGAATGCAGTATGATCTTGAAGGTGTTCAACGCGTCGTCTGCTATCAGTCGCGTCAGCTGCAACCAGCTGAGCGGAACTATCCAGTGCATGACAAGTAAATCCTTGCCATGAAGTATGCACTTGCGAAGTTCAGAGTCTATCTATTAGGAGATAGACCTTTCATCGTTCACACAGACCATGCGTCGTTACGCACGGCAGTAAACAGCCCGCACCTTTCACAACATATGTCGCGGAGGTTGTCATTCTTTGCAGAATACAACTTTACGGTCGAGTACAAACCAGGACGACTTAATGTCGTCGCTGATGCACTCTCACGTCGTCCCGACTTTGAAACAGTCGCGAAACCCAACAGTGAGACAGTCACTGTTGCGGTTATGACGTCCTCAGTTCCATCTACAATGTTGTATGATGATGTGAGGCGGGCTTACGCCCAAGATGGTGAGATAGTGAAGTTGTTGTCACATCTCTCCCAACCATCTCGAGAATCGTTGAAACGATTGTCGTCTGCGTATCGATCTGCATCAGATCGATACAATACTCGTAACGGGTTACTGTACTATACAGCCGTTTCTGGTGACACACCACGTGTTGTCATTCCAGATGATACTGATCTGCGTTTGCGGATCATGTTCGAGTATCACGATGCTCCTATAGGAGGACATCGTGGCCGAGAGAAAACATATCTCACGGTAAGTCGAGACTTTTACTGGCCCCGCCAGTATCAGTTTGTGCGAAAGTATGTTCGCGCATGCGAAGTCTGTCAACGAGTGAAGTCAAGTCCTTCACTGCGTGCACCTTTACAGCCTCTACCGGTTCCGGCTGAGTGCTGGGAATCCATCTCAATGGATTATGTCTTCGGGTTACCCAAAGACGCACACGGTAATACGGGTTTTCTCGTATTTGTTGACAGATTCAGCAAAAAGGTACACCTTGTGGCTGTACCCGAGACAATCACGGCAAGTGGCTGTGCTTGTGTCTTTATCGACACCATCTTCCGACTTCATGGGTTGACCCGTGAACTCGTATCAGACAGAGATCCACGATTCACTGCTGATTTCTGGCGCTCCGTGTTCAAATCACTCGGAACGCGCTTGAAGATGTCGACATCTGATCATCCAGAGTCAGATGTTCAGACGGAACATGCCAATCGTGTCCTTGAAGAGATACTTCGAGGATACGTACACTCCTTTAAGAGTTGGAGTGAGTTCTTGCCAATGGTAGAGTTTGCCATTAACAACTCGGTGCATGCTTCCACGACACATACACTGTTTTACGTGAATGTATTGCGACATCCGCGTGTACCCACCTTACTAGAGTGTAACACTGGTTTAAGGGGGGGAGGGACTCGCGCGAGCAAAAACCGATTTGGTTCACGCTCATCAAGCTATGACGAAGAGGTCATTGCGTTTGATGCCGATATCGATAGCATCGATATCGAAGAAGATGATGCCAGTGAGAGCGCGGAAGCCCTCACTGAAGAAAAGGTTGTTGTTGCTGCAGTGCGCTCACAGCACACTGAAGCTAACGAGTCATCAGATGAGTTCATACTGGCTCGTGAAACAGTAGTCCGTTTCGTGCAAGACTCCATCGCCGAAGCGGTGGATAAGCAAAAGCAAACGCAGACAAGAATGGAAGGGCAAACACTCTTTCATTTAATAAAGGTGACTTAGTCCTACTGTCTACGGTTAATCTACCAAATCATGTAGTGACTAACTTGGGTAGTAGTAAACTACTACCCAAGTACATTGTCCCATTTCGTGTATTGCATCGCCTAGGCAACGCATACACGATCGAGTTACCACGTAAGATGCGAACGCATCCCACGTTTTACGTTGGTCGGCTCAAGCCGTACCATCAGTACGCCGCTTCTTCCGATGAAGAACGCCCTTGCGCTCAAGCATCTCGCAGAGAGCCTTGTGCTCCCGATGGTGGGTATCGACAAGGGTCTGAAGAGCAGCTATCTCATCCCGAGACCGATCAGCAATCCCACGAGCTACCCTTAGCTCGTCACGAAGAGATGTCAGAGATCTCTCGTTCTCAAGCTGAGCAAAGGCAAACTCAGCTCGATGCTTCGAGGCAGTGTCCGCCATCTGGAGACGCCTACTCCGCTCATGTTCGAGATCGTCGCGTAACCCTTGCGTTACGCGATCAAAGAAGCTCTCGGGAACACACGCTTCCCCACATGATCGTGTGGAGAGCGTCTACCCCCCCCCTCCACCTCCATTAGAGGACTCTCGCGGTGGCCAGCGCTATCTAGTTGAGCAGCTGTTGAACCACCGCGATATGAACGGACGTCGGACGAGTTATCTCGTCCGGTGGCGCGGCTATCCCCCGTCCTGGGATTCTTGGGAGCCCCGCTCCCAACTGATGATCGACGTACTGGGTCTGGTTGAGCAGTACGACGCGGCACATCCTGTGCCGCAGAAGGACCGCCGGAGAAAGTCTTCCCGGCACGGTCATAAAGGTATTTCAGGTTGTCAATCCCTTCGTACATCTCACTAGAGATACGTACGCGTCACCACGGGCTAGTAAGGAGGTAAGCCTCCTTAGGTGCGCGCGCAGAGTTGTTCACACAACAAGGGCACGGGTATCCCCAGGAGAGGCAGGGTAACCCACCCTCCTTTGACAGACGATGCAGATTGTAGCGTGCACCTGTCGGGGTTCGCTTTTCAAACTTATCACGAGCTTTGATAAGTTTGTCGTTCCAAACGTCACGACCTCCATCCTCAAGGTTATGGATGCAAGCGTTCCACGCTTGAAGCAGTGAGGGACCATCACGTTTGTGATTCCCACTGTACTATCGATGTTTAAAGAAAGCATCGATGAAGAACTCATTCTCAGCGCGATATTTTTGCGCACTGGGGTCAAGGTGATGAATCCTTGACGAATCGAACAATCGTGTTCGATAGCGATCACTCGTCGTCGCCGACAAGTGATCCATGACTGATTATGGAGGCATCCATGCCTTCTTCTCGGGAGCGAGACGCAACACGTCGCGGTTCCGCTCTTCTTGCGACGTGCCGACAGAAGTACTGGCACCTCGTTGCGAAGTGGTGTCCATAGGAGAACCGACACCACTGTTAGCGCCCGAGTCTTGCGACCTCGAGCGCCTTCGCTTCGGCGATGGTTCGTCTGATTCGTCAGATGAACCAAAGATGCTGCGACGCAAAGCGTCATCCATGCCACGCTTGGCAAACGGCTTGGTTTCGATCGCCTTCGATACGGATCCGTCTTCCGTATCAGGAGAGTATGAGACACCGAGCTCATACTCTGTGAAGACATGAGTGTCTTCATGACCAGCGCCTGCATCACCGAGTGACACAGGCTGAGATGCTATGGCAACCGATGGGACATCAGTTGCTGTGGTTTCTGCTTCGGCGTCTGCACAGAGACGTGCGGACGCGCTCTCATCTGCCTTGTTCGCGCACCGCATGGGCTTGTTTACCATGCGATGAACTGTTGGAAAGTGGACTCGGAACAACAAGTGCAAACCCTGTCCCAAATGTTTTGGGACGAATATGTACTTAGTCAATCAGTCACTAAAGCGACTGATGGTTAAGGCGGGGGGGGGGTGATGTAACGGGGTGAACCGTTACATAACAATTTTTAAGAAATTGTTGATAGAAAACAACTATAAGAGTTATGTTCTCAGAATATTGTCATAAGGACAGTATTCTGCAGCACTTACGAGTAGTTCCTAATTGGTTGATATAGGCTATCATATCTACCAACGAAGACGCGCCACGACAGACGCACGCAATGAGTGGTGAGCAGATAGTTGATATGCACATTTGTATTAGACATTGTTAGATGAGGATAAACAGTGGTTTAATAACAGACATTTACTATCATAAATACAGTTCTACTTTTTACTTTAACCAAGTACTTGCTTCTTCTTACCGTCTTCCTCTGCACGTACCAGTGAACATGAAGTTACGCGGCACCGCCTTATTCTGTCATCAGAATATGTAGCTTGCACTGTCATCAGTACAAGCTTGAGGGTGCCCCGTTACACTAACAGGGTGCCCCCATCACATAAAAATTTACATAAAGTAATGGTCAAGTATTATTATTATGTCAGGGCAAACATGATGTTCTCGTCGTATTTTCCTAATCTATGATATTAATATGCAGATTTAACATAATGCTCATTGGTTGATGTCGGACCAAGATATCAACCAACAGAGCCGAGACACGATATAGAACGCAATATTTGGTGGGCAGATACAGTACATGTTTGTATTTCGACATAGTTAAATAAAGTCAATTAGGGATTTATTAAAAGGATATTAACTATGCTAATAGCAGTTCTACTTTTTACCTTTAATAAGTACTCTTACTCCGTTCAGCAATCTTCCTCTGCACGTACGTGTAATTGAGGTATTCGGACGTACACACCCTTGCACTACCAGCAGTGCAAGGTTTATATAGTCAGCTGAATAATGCTTGCCCCGTTTCAGTAAGGCTGCTACTCCTTTTTATTTTATATTTGTGCATAATCGAATCATTCGCGTCTCTTTCACGCGACGCGTTTATAATTATTATCCTGTTCGTTACTGAAAAACTATTTATGCACAGGGAGCTTTAGACGAGCGCGCGTGCGGGCGCCCTTGTCATTATAAAGAATTTAAAGCGTCGCAACAAGTTAGATACAATTCAATGATAATCCAGTTGTTGTTCCGAACAACGAAGCCGACAAAACTACATGCTCGTGTAAGTAAGCGTCCATTCAGTAATGCACTAGTGATGTTGCCTGCAAGGTAAATAGACTCGTACTGAGAAATGCAGTCACATTTTTTTGATCGATAAATTCGCTCTTTAGGTGTCAGTGTTGGTTCAAATAAACTTTCCCATTGCTGTATATTTTGATCCAACCTGATGCAATGGCCGCACCATCTCCATAATTTTTGCATGGTTATTGCATCAGTAATGCTGATCGCTATTTGCTCTAGTTTGATATGATTTATTCCTCCCTTACTTACTCACACCTATTAATTTAAGGACATCACGAATTGGCTAAAAGGCTGCCGACAATGACGTCCACCACACGATAGATTTGCGCAAAAAAGGTTCAAAATTGTTCATGATTACGACAAAATGAATTTTGTAATTCATCTGATGTGATATTGGTACCCCTGTTCTAGACTCATGATTAGCCAATCTCGTAGCGTTATATTGAACTGAGGGTATTTTACCAGAACGCTGTGGGATTGTTAACGGTTCCCCATAACTTATTTTTAAATAACAACTGGCGCACCAGGCCACACCACACTATCTTTCGCAGCATCACTCCCACCCCCGCCCTCAACTATTATCATCGGTGAGCACATCCTTGGCTTGCCAAAAATTACGAGTGATGGTTTTAACTAGATCGCATGGTGCAATTAATTTATTTTTATAGTTGTGCGCAAGTTGCCATTCGGTATCCTGAGCAACCAAAAACAAATTGCTTTCTTTCAGTGCATAACGCTCTTCCTGTCAACAAATCACACATTTTATTACCTCTCGGGAGCAGCTAGCTATATATTGACCACTAGGACTTGATGCCTCGTCTAAACTTCTTGGGAATAACAAGAATTTGTGATCGTCCTCTCGCTTGAGTAGAAGCTGATAGAAGAACATGAACGTTTGCAAAGATTCGATCTCCTGCGTACACTGGACTATCAGACTTTCAATTAGTGGGATACGAAGCACCGCTTTATACGGTGCCTTGTATATAGCACTGTGTACACCCTGAATCTTGCCGCGTACTCGTCTTGCTGAAACTCGTATACAAACTCAGTGACTATCTACACCTTGAGTTTCTAACACACTTACTCGCTGTAGAAATTCACGTAACCAAGGGTATCTTCCAAAGCAGATACATCCCTACGACGATCCATTTTTTTACCATTCACCCTTATACTCGTTGCCGCTTGATTCTAGTGTTGCGGACGCTGGTGGGTATGCAATTGTAGACAAGCTTGTCATCCAGATTCTTTCTGATGCCAAAGTGTTGGACGGTGTTCTCTATATTATGATTGGAAATAATGTGGAACGGCTTGACTTCTGAACTGCAAACTCGCGGCCGGCTACCAAAAGGCATAATCCAACCAAGGATATGTAAATACGTATGGAAAAATCAACGAATTAGCTGGATCCCGACAAGATTTCACACATTGTATCGATTTTTACAGCTAAAAAAATTTCTATGTCCGTCTAAGAGCATGTGGTGGTTTATTGTGAGGTGTGCCTGTATTAAATTAAATAAAGTAATGGTATGGTTGTGGTGAAGCGAGTATTTTAAATGATGGACTTTAGAGTCGATGATCCGGACTTACATACATTTCGCGTCCAGGAAAGGGACCGGAGACTTGGGGGGTCACATGTAAGGAGCGGCCATTGGTTCCAACCGTGACGAACGGTTAAGGTTACTGCTAAAGAGGTCAAACTGACCAACAGTATCAGTTAAATGGTACCGACATGGATCGTTCTCTACCACTCGTCGGTCGTCTTGGTCGCCCGAGGTTGACCTTGGTTCCCCGTAGGCCGACCTGGCCACCCATCGGTCCGCCTGGTGGCCCAAGGTGGACCTCGGCCACCCGTAGGCCAACCTGTCCACCCATCGGTCAACATGGCTACCCATAAATCGACTTAGCCTATCAAGGTCTGGTGGCTCCTGGCCACTCATGATAGAGAACCCAGGTGCGAGGCATAGATAGAGTAAAGGGGTTTAAAGGATAGGATAACAATAAATACTACTCGATTTGCGGTCTAAGTAGCACGACGTGTCGTGCGCTAAGAAACTTGTAAGTCTACCGACCTGTTCCGGGCCAGGAATCTGTTTGGCCCACCCGTTAAAAGGACAGTTGTCAGTAAGACACAAGCGCAAGTAGAACTCCAGAAAGTGTATTGGTCTGTGGGCTCGTAGAGTAGCACCCCCCCCTCCCAACTCAAGCCCGCTTTTGGAAGCGGTGTCCATACCCTAGTGGTAAGGGAGAAGACAAAAATAGGCCAGGTGGTTAAAACTCCTGATTCATTTAAAGGCCAGGCGCCACCAGTACCTAGGACAACTGGTTATAAGACCACTCTCGACCAAGTCGATCAAGTG